TATATAATGTGATGCAAAGTTCATGCTAGCAGGGAGTTTGTTTATAGATTTTTACTTATGCCGATTGTATTTAGACCTCAAAATGAATGCTTTTTGTTTTCATTTGTGAATATTATCATTAAAAAAAAAAGGTTAAGAATCAAACTTTTGTTGGTCGTAGATCTTCTTTTCTGCCGTAATCCAAATGCAACCAAAGGTTGGCTTTCAAAATACATCATCACTACAGTAGTTCCAGTTCAATATCACTTCGCCAAAATACTTCCGTTATTTCAAATGTCCTTGCAGCAAAACAGCAGCAAAAGAGCCAAAACTGCCAAATACATTGACCAAACAAACAATAGGATAAAAATTATAAACAATTTCCATGTTTTCCCACTAAATTACCTTTTATTTTCCAAGGAAATCATGCTTCCTTTCTCTTGCTCGCGCTCTCGCTCTCTCTCTCTGCATGCACACACATACAGTACAGACACACACTTGTGCACAGAAACGTTAGAATCCGTAAAAATGGAAACAAATCTAAAATAATGTTTTAGAATTAGCAACAGAGGATTGGGATGAGAATGCATACTTCATGGTGAATTTAAAGAGAGGTTTTATGCATTTTATTGAAAAATGCATATGCTTTACCACGCTTGTTTTTGAGGTTGCACAGCATGGGAAAAAGGTATATAACATTATTATTTGATTTGAGTGGCCAGACAGTAGCATCATTGTGTTTTCATCCATCCGTAATGTTAAGAAACAGTAACCTTATGTGTACGAAGGTATAATGATTGTCCGTTTTGAACTGTGCGGAGGCGAAGGTAAGTGTTTATTTGTCTTTCACACTGTTCCTTCATGAGGACCCTTCATGAAATGAGGCCTGGTCCTTACCAATGCTTATAGAGCACCTTGAAACCAGAAAACTGCTGTAAAAGCTACAACCTTCATATATAGGAGTATTTTTGATTTACATTTTATAATAAGCAGTTGATTAATGCCTTTCAGAAAGGACAAAGCGACAGTCTGTATTTATCTGAGTGCTCAGTCATCAATGAAAACCAAAAATGCTTTTCAGAGGAATATAGGTTAACGTCTCGCTTTACCCATTGTTATAATCTTCCTGTCTTGTTTACACACACACACACACACACACACACCTATAGAACTGCTAGTACTGACAACTGTAGTCACACTTGCTTTGTGGAACTGGGACACATGACATGCAGGTAAAGAAATAAAATATTTCATTTTTAGTAAGTGTTTTATTTTGATTGATGTTATTTTAAAATGACATTTTAATTTTACTTTTTTATGATTGTATTAATTATTCGCTTAAACTCACGAACCCCCTGCAGTTAATTTACGAACCCCAGTTCGGGATATCTTGATGTAACATAACATTTAATGCACTTCATGTTGTTAATTACCGATACCAATTACAACAAATGGAATATTTTTTCTTACTCTTTGTATTTTTATATCAATATTGTACAAGATTATCCTATTCAAATCAATGTGATAAACAAGTTAGGTCAAAAGCAATCTAAAAGTAATCAAAAGTTAGTCTGATTATATTACCTAAAATGTGTAATGTAATGGATTATGTTACTAACTACAATTTTTGTCATGTAATTTGGAATTAGTAACGGATTACAATTAGTAAGTAATCTACCCAGCTCTGGGTGCAGAATGAGCTAAATGAGGCTGAATGCAGTTGTAGTGCAGGGTATATGCATAGCCACTTCTTTATCAACTGGCATTGCGTATACCCACTTCTAAATCCCCTCTGACGCGCATCGTTCAGTAGTGCAAAATCTGCACCTCTTCTGTGGCTAAAATTAATTTCATAATGATCCTTACTTTGTGAAGTCAAGCAGCAGAAGTTAAGTGACAATTTGTAAATACTACTGGCCCATTTTGGGGTGAACTAAATAAGCAAGCCTAGTCTTACATGTCACTGTTTATAACAGAGGGTGTTCATCTTTTGCTGGGCTGCTCTAAAAAAAAATTGGGGACATAAACTAGGCTAAATTATGCCCACTTCTCGAAGCACCACTACACCACTGGCTGAATGGGTCCGCTTTTTTACACAGAGAGTCACAACTGTAGGAAAGTAAAGAGACTGGAATGGGTTAAGTATTTGAGCTTTATACACTATCATTCAAAAGTTTGAGGTCAGTAATTTTTTTTAAAGAAATCAATGGTTTCATTCAACAGGGATGCATTAAATAGATTAAAAAAAAAAAAAACAGCATATACATTTGGAATGTAACAAAATATTTCTATTTCAAATCAATTATGTTCTATTGAACTTTCTTTCTATCAAGGAATCCTGAAAAAGTAAATGTATCACAGGTTCCACAAAAATATTAAAGTAGTTGACCCAAAAATGAAAATGCTGTCATTATAATCGGAAGAACCTTCTTTTGCCACAAAGAACCTTTTGTGAAACAGAAAGGTTCTTCAGATGTTAAAGGTTCTTTATAGAACTATTTAGACAAAAAGGTCCTTCTATGGCATCGTGAAGCACCTTTATTTTTAAGAGTGTACCCACCCTCAAGAAACTTGTCTTGAGCAGGAAATCATTATGCTAGCATGATTTCTGAATGACCATGTGACACTGAAGACTGGCGTAATCATGCTGAAAATTCAGCTTTGCCATCACAGGAATAAATTACATTTTGAAATCAGTCATTTTAAACTGCAATAATATGTCATAATTTTACAGTTTTTACTGTTTGTTTTTTTATCAAATAAATGAAGCCTTGTTAAGATGAAGACACTTCTTTCAAAAACATCTTTAAAAATCTTACTGACCACAATGAATACCAGTTTATATTATAATTTATTTATATTTTAAAATAATATAACAATATATTTTATTTTTAATATCTAAAACTTCCTTGTTATGTTGCTAGCGTAACACATGAGAATTCATAAATAAGAATTAGATAAATAAGACTGCTTACATTTTCATTTGGGTCAAGCTCATTTGTTAAGCCTTTTCATTCTAACTGGGCTATGAGTTGAATTCTTAACAAATTACTAAGCTCTATGTAAATATAACTAATAAAATTGTCTCTCTAATTACAGTCACTATAATTGTCTTTTACAGAAAGTCATCTTCCTCTCTGATCTTCTAGGCCCTTTTATCTGTTACAAGCACCCATCCTTCCTCTGCAGAAATCACATTTCTTTGCATGTGATGTGACTGATGATGAGTAGATGGGATCATGAATGTCTCATAGTACTCAATTTATTACATGCCCCCTTCACATTATACATGAAGCATAATATATAAGCTTCATATTTTCACCCAGCAAGTCACAGATGTGACTGTAGGAAAATGAATTGATTAATATATTGCATCAGAAATTCAACATGAATAACTGGATATATGGGGATCTGTCATATTGGCTTGGACGGATAAATGTGTCCCTCTCAAGCCAGAGTGAAATGTGTATGTTATCCTCCTCACAGCAGCCAACTGAACTCAATTACACTCCAGTGACTGGGACGCCCAGATAATAATGTATCCAAATCCAATCATACTGCCATACACATGAGATCCTTATCAACTCTTACTGGGCATATGACAATAAACGCTCTGAATCCTTGAATCCTTAACAGGTTGCTCAAGGAACCAGACACTACAGAACATGCTGAAAGAAAAATAAGGTTTTCTCTGGTTTAAAAAAAAAACTAAGGTCAGAATAACACTTTTTTTCCTGCTCGTTTTCTTACTTTATGTCCAGTCACCTTGACAACATATAGCTTCTTTGTTCCTTCAAAGCCCTTTTCATTTCTCCTTTATTGCTTTCAGGTGGAAGAATATATCCCAATACAAAAAAAAAACTTCAAGAGCTGGCATCTGACAAGGACCAAATATGTGATAGTCCTCCTGAGCAGCTACTACATCTGCTAAAAATGCAGCTGTAAACTTCCTCAGTGTTTGAGATTACATAACAACATAAGTTCTCTAGTGGGTTTTCTGCTGGTTTCTTCTCCTTCTCATGATTCTACGAAAATGGGTTTAAACGAACAATTAACAATGTCCGTTACCCAATTTTCAGCAACCAATTATACAGTTTACTTCCTCTGAATTAACACTTCAGCTTTCTGAGTTTGGATGAATCAGTGCACATCCACAGAATTGGCAGCATCTTCAAACATCTTGAGATCCTGTCAGAGCCTTTGCAAATTCAGTAACAGATTCGAAGGGAGTTTTTAATCCCAAGCTAGGTTTATGACAAAAATCCTAATTGTCGATTATTCCCTAGAAATTGTAATTGCGATTATTAATAACGATTATCACAATTTACATTGAATGATGTTTATATCATTGTTTGAAGCAACTGCATGCCATATTTTTTGATGAAAATCAACAAGCTGAAAACATTCTAACTGAAAAACTTTTGTTTTTCTATAGTATTAAGCCTCAAATGTGAACTATACATTGGATTGGTTTCTTCTTTAAATAAAAAAGTAAAAATATGCATGGTATTATAATGTTATATTAAAAATAAAATTAAAACAATGGGAAACAAAAAAAACCTTAACATAACCTGTAGAAAGAAAAAAAAAACATCTTAAGCACGCAGAATAACATGAGTGGACTTTGAACGATAAATTGCCGCTTTGAACGATTATGTAATTGTGGCATCCGTAATTGTAATTGCGATTAGAAATTTGATTAATTGTCCACCCCTATTCCAAGCTGTTTTTCATGCACAACACAGAACTGCAGTTTACCTGTTTGACGGCGTACAGCAATCTCCCATAGCAGTAGACCATGATGAGCACTGGAATGCCCAAGCAGAATAGAAACAGACAGATGATGTAGGCATGAGACTTGGCCGTACGCTCGGTCCATGATACAGAGCAGCTGGTTCCTGCACCCTCCAGCCCATAACTACTCCAGCCCAGAAGAGGGGGCACCGTCCAGACCAAAGAGTAGAGCCACGAACCCCCTACTGCCAGAAGAGGTTTGCGATAGTCTGGACCACGGTTATGGTACACCGTCAATGTGCTGTAGCGGTCGTAAGAAAGAACCACCAAGGATATCAGAGATACGATGCCTGAGAGAGAAGACAAAGAGGACAAACACTTCAACACTGAGGTAAGTTGAAACTGGCCAGTTTTTGTGTGAAGAGCAGCTGTAGACTCCAAAAGGACCCAAAAGCTCTTTGGAAACTTTAAACTTCAAGCTTATTTAACAAATTTAAACAAGTAGTTTGTGGCAGATTCATAGCTTTTCAACACAACTTCTGCTCCTGTATTTAAAGCCTACTATTGGATCATTGGGGGTAAATGACAAATTATGCGACTAGGCTACTTTTAGGAGAGCTTGACCTACTAGCTGCCTTAAGAACAAATGATGCAACCGAATAAAGTACAGAGTTAGTGGGAAAACTACTAAGCCTCTAGTGTGAACTTTTTGTTCCAATTTAAGAACTTACGAGCGGCTGGTGCAACCCTACCCTTAAGACCAGCTTATTAAACTGATTGTAAAAATGTCTAAAAAAAAGTGAAGTTATGAAAGTTCCAGCCACATTTGTTTTTAGATGACATGTGGTTTGATATTTTGCCGTGACATTCAGACATAGTGTGACTTCAGTGTCCAGTGACTTTTTGGGGTCACTGTAGATATTGTCTCCAGTGCACCAATGAAGGCCAAGTCCAAAAGGTTGTACAAGTGAATGTGTATCGCTGAAAAATAAGCATTTCCAGAGGTCTTCAATGAAAAAGGCACATAGGGACATGAACTGTCATTTCATATTTGTCACTTCAAGACTTTTGCCACAACAAAAAACCTTTTTAGCCATTTCAAATTAAGACCTTTCCAGTACACACACACACAAACTTTTTTGGCATCTTTTTTATTGTTCTTTATTGTTGTGTTTAGTCACAAAGTGTGTGTCTCTCCTCCAAATTTTCTGTCCTTCAGGACTCATGAACCATAAAGATTTATTGCTCAAAAAGCCATAGCAATAAGTTAGCAATGTAAGGTTGCTGTCAAATGTTATCAAAGAAAAATTTCAGAAAATGGAGGATTTGTTCATTGTTATGCCCTTTCATTCCATTACAGCAGAGATATTGGTCTTATCTCTCCTTAATAACAGAATTAATTCAATCTTATCTATAATGAAAAAGTAATGAGCAAGACAGCACAATATGAAGCTCTTCAGTCCACATAACAGCCCCCTCGATAAACACTAACTGGTGGACTCGAGCATAACTCTATGTACAGGTTTGTACAAATGCCCTCTTATTATCATAATGATGTAATATAAGCGTGAAATGTTAGAGAAGCATACTTAATGAGTTCAGGTCCCTCGTAATCAGTTGAACTTGAGATGACTTAAAGGGTTAGTTCACCCAAAAATGAAAATTTGGCTGTGTTTTACTCACCCCTGAGGCATCCTAGGTGTATATGACTTTCTTCTTTTAGACGAATCCAGTCGGAGTTATATTAAAAATTGTCCTGGCTATTCCAAGCTATATCATTGCAGTCAGCGGGTGTTGCAGTGCTTCAGTCCAAAAGAAGTTAAATAAAAAGCACCAATCCATAAAAAAAAGTGTCTCACATGGCTCCGGGGGGTGAACAAAGGCCTCCTGTAGCGAATCGATGCGTTTTTGTAAGAAAAATAACCATATTTAAAACGTAATAATCAATTTAATCTAGCTTGCGCTCACTGTTGTA